AATCAGACAGATCTGACACGTAGTTCCCTGATAGACTATCTCCCTGCTCTTTCTGCTTGGCTTCGGACCAGTTCCTTACATCTGCTGGATTCACTTCTTTGTTTAGAAAACTCCTTTCCATCGTGAAAGCCTTTCCACTTTATCGATACTCACAGATCAATCGCCTTTTCTAATGATATGTCTATGCAGTATGAAAAAAATAAACAAAACAAACAAAAAGTTAGTCAAAACAATTGTATAAATTTAACATAAAAGATAAGTAAAACGGGAAATAAATCTATTTCTTATGTCTATCTACCGAATAATATTCCTCAAAAAGGGTCCTACCCAAACATGCTCTCTACCCCTCCAAAATAATTAAATTCTAACTGCACCTAAATTCTATTTCACATGCTTTAAAAGAATAAATCTATTCTACACACTCAAAAATAAATAAATAAAATAAAAAGGTTAGAGGGTTTCTCCATTGTGTGCGCCTATTTTGGGTACCTATTGACGGACAGAGGTTCAGTATGACTCTACTAGTGTGACCGTTCTATGGTTCACTATATGCATGGTTTCAGCTCTAACAGGAAAAGGAACTCGAATTGTCCTTGATGTCGGTGCCCCCTTGGGCTACCAAACCCTCAATCCTCACCCATTACAGGTTTCAAACGGACCGAGTTCAATTCGAGGGGATTCACTGCCTTATACCCATACGAGGAATAAATTCCTACGAAGGTATAAGGTATGTATCCCATGGGTTATTTGCTAAAACTCATACGAAGAATAAATTCTTACGAGAGTAAAGCAATCACCCTAACTAATTTAGATCGAAACTCATGTCTAGAGCTCATGTTATGCTCATGAAAGTGATGTGTGAGGAAACAAACAAACCTTTGACTCAAAAACAGGGAAAATAAAAAAATAAAAAATAAAAAATAACACCCAACGAGAACTAAGAAATATCTGAAAAAATGAAAACAATTAAAATGTTAGTATATAAAAATAATAAATAAAAATTCAAAAAATAGATCATAGTTTTACTAAAGATTCGAACTTATAATTTCCACCATAACGACCATATATAAACGACCGACAGCCTGACTCTCTAGTTTCGTCCCCAGCAGAGTCGCCAAGCTGTCATAACCATTTTTCAAAAAAACAATTAAATATTATTTTTAAAAACAATTATGACTTTAATTTGGAAAATTTGGTGATTTTGGAATTGATTTGAATAAAATAGAAAAGAGTCGCCATCGACCTTTGGGTTAGGTAGGTCAAATACCTAAAACGTCTTTTAAAAACAATTTTTAAGAAAAATAATTTTATAAGACAAAAATTTGGTCTACGTTACCAAAGATTCATTTAAAATAGGTTCGGGAGTCGGTACGTGTGGGGAAGGGTAAACACCCCCACAACGCCCAAAATTGGTACTGTGTAGCTTACACATTGTCGTAAATGGTGGAAATTACAATTTGAGTATGAAGTAAAAATATGATCTATTTATTGAATATTTGTTAAAATAATAGAAGTACTTCACTTGGTAAGAAATCTCAAGATTTGCAATCCTCCAACGGAAAGCTATATCATCTATTATTCTATAAAGTACATCCTATCTTTGAATTACCACTAAATAATATCGTCATGAGTAGAAAATAAAATATGCTTAATTTATGTATTGTTAATATTAACATACAACCATTAATACAATAAAAATTATGAAAAATAGAATAATAAATAAATTATGATCTATTTATTGAATATTAGTTATAATAAATAAAAAAAAATCCTTTTCTTGATAAGAAATCCCGAGATTTGCAATCCTCCGCCGGGAAAGCTACCTCGTCTATTTCTTACTTGTAAAGAATATTTTCTCTTTAATAAAAATGATGAAAATTGACATAAAATGCATCATACTATACTTTTCCAAAACATACATCACTCATATTAAGATTCAATGAAGAAATAATAATAAAGATTAAAATTTAAATATAAACAATATGAACATCTAATAAATTAACAACAAAAAAAATAAAAAAAATAAATAAAATAATTTATAAGCTTGTAAAAGGAAGAATTTGCGTTTTTTATTCCGTTTGAACGTCGTATCGGATTGTACCCCCTTCGATCAAGTGATACTTTCCACGCCCGTTCTATAAATATGTGTTCTTGAAAGTATAATCGAATATTTCATACATAAAAAATATAATGAAATAAATGTAATTGTAAAATATAAAATAAAAATTTTATATTAAATGAAACTAAAACATTTTTTAATACAAATAACCATGTAATAAATAAATACTTCATAATAAATAACTAGCATAAGAAACATTATAAACCCAAATGAAATCATTAAAATGCAAATACTTACAAGAATAAAATAACACAAATTTGAAGGACAAAAAAAATAGCACAAAGTTAAACATACAGGATTAAAATAATAAAAATAGCAATAAAAGGGATCAAAATGGATGAAATAAAAACTAAAGGGATTAAAATAGTAAAAATAGAAACTTATGAGTCTAAATAATAGTTACAAATAAAATAGAACCCATATCACAAATGTTTAATAATATAGGCATTGGAAATAAAACAAAACTATAACTACCATTAAGGACTAAAATAAAATAACCATATACACAGAAGACTAAACAATAACTAAACCAACTATCCAGCAGTGACTAAAATAAAGAAATCACAAATGTCATGGCCAAATCAGGATATCAATGAGAATGAACAATACACTAAAATAGTGACTACAATGGAATAACTAAAAAAATCTTTACCATATTCAAGTAATCACCGAAATATATAAGATAAGTGACTAAAATAAAAGTACTACAAATATGATGACCCAATTCGAATATCGCAAAGATCATAATATACATGGAAACAAATGATCAAATTGAAATATTTGAAAATATTGAAACCGGAATCAAATATAGACGAAATGATATAAAACTGAATAGTGACCAATATATAACAGTGAAAAGATAAAAAGCTCAAAACTCAAATAAAATGAAACTTCATTTAATGACTAAATAATAGGTTACAAACATCAAGGACCAAAAGTGGATTAGACCTAAAATTTAAAACACGGGGAGAACTATCAGAAGATGAGGGACTGAAACCAACAATATCCCTTTTTCCTCAAAACGCGCAGTCTCAACCCGGTTCAAAACGACGTCGCTCGGCGTCTGTATCATAACCCACTTAAAGGGTTATTTGAAAACCCTAACCCATCTCAAACCCTCAGCCGCTCTCCCTTTCTCCTTCACAAAACAGAGAGCCGAAAAGGCTCTCAACCTTTCTCCTTTTCACCCCCTTCTCTCCAGCAAACAGAAAACCCAGAACTCCCCGGCCACCGTAGATCGGTGGCCATGGGGAGTAACCTCATCTCTCTCTCTCACCTAAAAACCTAAGCGAATCAACACCCCAAAACCCACTGCACTCCAACCCTAACCAACCTAGAAGAGGAGAAGGTTTTACCTTCAGATACGGGGCTAGCTGGGATCGGAGAAGGTCACAACGAGGTTCACGGTGGTGGTTCGAGGAGGAGGTAAAACTTTTCTTTTTTCTCTTTTTTTCTTCTGTTTTTTTCTTCTGTTTTCGAAAAAATTTTCCTTTTCTTCTTTTTTCTGTTCTTTTATCTTTGCTTGCCTCTGGATTCCTGGTGAGATGATGATGATATCTAGGTAGATAGGATTTGATTTCTCTGATTGGGTGAATAAAATCCAGATTTTCCGGGATTTTAGGGTGCTATTCTAATGGGTTTTTTTAGATTTGGGGTAAGTTTAGGCCAATGTTATTTGATTGGGTACGTTGTTTTACAGGAACCGGTCACTGTTCATGCAGGAGAGCAGTCGGCGGCGACGGGACACCTCGGCTTGGTGGCTCGGTGATTGGCTCACGGTTTGCTCACGCGGCTCAGGCTGATGGTGAAGATCAACGTGCGGCTGAGGGATTGGACTCTGGCTTGAGCGGCGGCTGTGTAGTTAGGGGATTAGGGTTTGAAACCCTAGTCTGATTTAGGGTTTGAAACCCTAAACTGATTTAGGGTTTGAAACCCTAATCTGATTTAGGGTTTGAAACCCTAATCTGATGGGTTGTTGGGCCCCGGGATTGGGCCAATTGGGCTTCGGGTTGTTGGGCTCCGGGATTGGGCCTTTGGTCTCTGGGCCAATTGTAATCAGGCCTTAATTTGGCCTGCAAAAATACATGTAATTAATTTATAATAAAAATAACGATAATAATAATAATAATAATAAAATAACGGAAAAAAAACCCGGACAAAAACGGGTGTCTACAATTGATACAGGCAAACTGGCGAATGCAATGCAAGTAAGGGATAGAACATAGACCCAACGAGATGCGTTTTCATATGGGCTTGGGGTGACTCTAAAATTCAAAATAAACAAACAAGATGCTCACATTTGTATTAAATGACGGTTTATGTATACCAACTCAACCAAATCTTTGAACTACTGGCTTGTTTATATGATTTTTCTTGTGATTGGAAGTTTCTTTTTAAGCAAGTTTGACCCATTAGTTTGTAGTTGTCTTTCGTAATTGGTACTCAATCCCTTGAATGAGTCAATTTGTAGATAATTGTTAGTTTGTTACTGTGTTAATTGAAATGAACAAAAGTCTAAACCATTCACAAAAAAATCAAAAAAATGGAGCCCTTGGACACTGTCAGCATCAACTTCATCACAGTGAACCTCTCGAGGATTACAAGCTAATATTCGAGCAATTGACCAGAAGAGGTCTGAATCAAGTAATGCAAGGGCACCACCACCAAGGACTCGGACATTCGGTTGTGAGACTGCGATAAACAACGCTAGTCAAAGTGATGTTCTTTACGCTTGTTGGGCAATGACCATAAGTGCAGGGTGGCCGCTCCTGCCACAATGCCTTGCAAAAATAATTTAGCGGTAGATGATAACTGGGGTACAGTAATATTTACTCGCTTGCCTTCATTAAACTAGTATTTTTAGCAGCAAAATTATCAATCATTCAAGAATCAACATGGTATGAATTTATACATAATCTTGTTTGTAGTTGGAATCATCATATCATGATCCAAAAGAAGAAAGTACCCACAGATGCAAACTGATATGGCATCTCTGTATCCATAGAGTAGCACATCAAAGTACAAACTAAGCTTTATCTGGTTAAATTCATTTGAAAGTCGGATCATTCAATATTCTGGACCATTTTTATTTTACTATCAAAGTGATAAACATCAACCACAACACGAGAACAGTTGGGAAAGGAAACACAAACCAACATTGCCGACTGTCACCGCAGCCCCCCAAAACTCTTGCATGCCGTTAGCGGTCAAGGACAGGCAACTATCTACATATTAAGTCAATAGTGTGATGGTTTCTCCATTCTTTGATGCATGAAACTGCTATGAAAATATATCAAAAGCTGATAGTAATGCAGAGCGTCACTCATGCTCAATGGTACTGCCCCCAGTACTAATCCTAGATGCTTTCCCCATTAGCCAAATACTTTAGAACGAACCAAAAAGCCGGCACAACCTTAATTTGCAGGTTCTCATAATTGAGGAATATGAAGGAAACAAGAAAAAGAAAACCAGGTTTATAGAATAAACTACCATTTAGCAATTGCATCACTTGGACATTTCAATTTGAGCTTTCGAAGATGCTCTCTGGATCTTATATCAGCCTAAATAGAAAATGGAAGTATAGGCTTGAGTATTTCATACCAAATTTAGAATCAAATAAAAGATGCTCAAGTAACAACAACAACAACAACAACAACAACAATAATAAAGACTCAAGTTTCTTATTTCTAAATAATTGATCCCAGTGGCTAAACTATATCAAAAAATGAGAGGAGTTTACTATTGCATAGTTATTTTGAAACCCTGAATCTGCAAGGGTGCATTCAGATACATCCTGATTCAGTTCAAAGCATTTCCCCCAATTATGCCTTGGATTCCACTGAACTAGAGGAATCTCAGATGTACATAAAAAACTAACAATACGTAGCTCCACAAACACATTGCCAAAGCAACAAAGCCTTCATATAAGAATTGCAAATACAAGTGTACTTCCACATATTCATTTAAGACTACGACAAACAATATACAAGAAATCAAACAAGCTAAAAGATTAAGCATTTCACAGAATTGGTTTCATGCTAATTTGCCCGAACAAATTCATAATTTTATCAGAAACCAACAAACTTGGATTACCTGCCTTATAGGTTCTGGCACACGAAATTTGCATGTCATATTTACAATATTGATTGCCGTTTCAAGTGATACTCTATGACCAATTGAAACAAACACAGGCTTTAGTGAACCTTGATTTGATCGCATTGCCTGTTAATAAAAAGACAAAGTACAGTAAAAATTTGGGACCATAAAGATGAGATAACTTTTGTACATCTATATTTCAATTCTACACTCCCTGAATTTATGAAAAGGGACAAAGAAACAAATGACTTAGCATTGCAACATATTGATATCTGATATATTTCAACATTCCACAGGTTAAAGAAAAAATTTACTGGTATCTTTTTTTTTTGATAAGAAGTTAGGCCTCGTTAAAAACCCCCTTCATGATTAATGGAACAAAAAATGTTCCTTAGTCAGCGGAAGGAGGAAAAGAGTGCCTTAATAACCATAAATAATCAAAAGTTACATAATGTTTAACAACAAAACTCTCCCTTACAATAATTTACTGGTATCTTTAACATGCTGCAAAAAGGTGGGAGCATCTCAAAGTTGCATAAGAATTGGACTGCAGCATTAAATAAATCAGAAGCTACACCTATATGCTAGTAGACGTGCTAGATAGTACATGGAATCAAATAAAAACTATCAAGGTTTAGTAAATGAATGATTACAGCTTACGCCTTATTTACTTTGAAGCATAAGCAACCCAGTGACGAAAAAATTTCAAAGAAAATGCAAGCCCAGGTTTGCATTCTGCTTTGATTAAATGATTATGGTTTTTTTTTTCAATAATGTATAACATATCTGCTCATACTACGGCTAGGAAGACAAAGAAAAAACAAGACAACCCTGCTCAACTTCTTACCGCCCCCGAGATGAATCCTGAGTTGCCTCTTAAAGTAATCATGCCCTTGGCTCTGTTTTCTTTAGCTTCAAGAAGTTTTCTTACCCCAGATTGAGTAAGACCATCAACATGATGCAGCTGAACAAGATAAAATATATTGACAGTGGAGATATGTATATTATTTATTTGTACATATGAATGTTTGTTCATTAAAAGTCATGAATAAGAATATAATGTTTAAAGTAATAGTTGATGTAAACGCACGTTCTTTCCAATACCAATGGTCGGAATATCAGCAATAACACCTACATGAGAAGCCAAACCAAAACCTGGACAAGGAAAAACTCTCAACATACAAGAGAAGGTGATAACTGATAAAGGCACCGAATAGAATAAAAGACTAACTTGCCTCGAGGGTGAAGTAATCCATTACCATCCACCATAAGTACCTGCTGAATGCATGCACGGATTAGACAACATAAAGGATATGATGAATAATGACAAAAATAAAAAATTTAAACTGAAATACAGAGGAGAGGACCTGAGGGTAGAAAGGACTAGCATCTTTTTTCATCTTCTCCAAGAGATGTACAAGAATGGGAGCCTTGAAAAAGAAAAAGTTAAATGGGCTGAATTAAATAGTTGAAAGAATGAAAGAAGACTTGGTCAATAAGGAGTCACATGACAAGAGAACCAGGGAGGCCCATAGATATTGTGCGTGATATTATGGGTGTAGATACAATGGGGTATCATTTAGACAAACAGCCTCTCAGAACATATTTATTTCCAATTTTCAAATAGCCAAATACTCATCTTTTCAATAAATTATCCAATTTGTAACATGCTACAAAAACAGTTAAGCCAAGATGATCAATGATAATATGAAAATGAAATTAGATAATTTAATATTCAATAAAAACATGTATTCCAAGCTTAGATTTTCAGAAAACAAATCTAAGCAAAATTTAACAAATTGTTGGTCTCCTATACATGCTAAAGCCACACTTAACCCTAGCAGCATATGTCAAAACAAAAATCCAAATTAACCCAGTTGCAGAGAGTCTTAAGTGTATCAGAAACATCCAGTTGGTTGCAACGTCAAGAACAGAAATCATTATTCTAAACTGGTGGAATAGTTTGAACCAATGTCCTTAGTTTCTCTGACATGTTTATTGCAGGATAAGTAGATGCCTCGCTACACCCAAGTTCTCTGTGGCAGTTAATGGAGGGTTTGTAGGATGATTAGACAATGGGACCAATCTCCCATATTTGTTTGTCATAGTTCTGAATGTGTTATCCTGCCTTTCGAATCAAGTACCTGCACAATTCCTTAAAATCCTAAGTATGAGAAAATGAGGCTCAAACATTTGTGCTTCATTGATGAGTTGTTAAGCTTCAACAAACATCAGAGTCAATTTGTTGAACCCATAACCAACATATTGGAAGTTTTCCACGTGAGTTCAGATTTCTAGTTCAATTGTTCCAAAAGTGAAGCTATATTATATAGTGCAAGGACAAATGATGAGATGTTTTGGGACATAGCTTCAAAGATTAGGTTCAAGCTTGGAACTCTACCTATCACAAACCTAGGTGTAGGACTGATCACTAAGAAACTTAGAGACAAAGATTGTGCTCCTCCGGTGGACAAAATACGAAAGAGGATAAAGAGTTGAGCAATCAAACACCTATTCTTTGCAGGTTCTCAGCAGTTTATTCAGTCTGTTCTTTTCAATATCTGAATTTTGGAGTAAAAACCTGTTGCTACCAACCAAAGCCACAACTAAGCAGCGCTTTCTCATGAATTTTATTTTTGAAGGACTTGCATAAAGGGCAGAGATAGTTGATATGCCATTGATCATACTAAGGACAAGGTGGATTGAGACTTAAAGACTTGTACAGTTGGAAAGCATATGAGGAATCTCTGGATGGTGCTCACCCAAGCTAGGTCACTTTGTGTTGCTTGGATGGAAGCATATGTCCAGAAGGCAGGAATGTCGTGTAACTGCCTTATTTACAGAGGATAGCTGGGATGCGATAAGCTATTGAATTAAGGAGCCTGGCAACTAGGTTCATATAGCAACAAGGAGATGGCATTGACATTGTATGGATGACATTTGGGCCCAACCTAAAGAAGCAACTGTTTGGCATGCGTTGAGGCATAAAAAATACAAGGTGGACTGACATAGGCTTGTGTGAAGTCATTTTCAAATTCCCAGACAGGCAGACACTCATTTATCCCTTGCTTAGCTATAATGGGCATGTTGCCCACTAAGAGTAGGATGGGGCAAGCAATTACCCTGGAATGCTAGGGAATTTGAACTCAAAGCAGATATGGGGGGATAATCCTCTCTACTTCTGGAATCTGCAGAGTTACTTGTTCATGGCAGGAAGAGCTATTTTGGGTGGTGAGGAGCATCACAAGGAAAGCTATTAGTTAGTACTGCTGCATTTAGATTGGCTCCGAATGCTCAAATCTACTTCCTATGCCAAGGAATAGAAGACTTCATGACAGCATCGGGAAGAACAACCAATAGCTAGTATAATCGTAAAAGTTGTAAATGGTAGATTATCAGGCACAGTGAACAACACTAATTTGATTTGTTGACTGCATAAGTAAATAGCAATCTAGCCTTGTACAGGATGTAAACGGCAGTAGCAGATTTCTCTGCTTGTTGGATAAATAAAAATAAAAATAATAACAAGCATAAATTCTTGAATAAATATTGTGAAGTTCATGAGTTAAAATGATTTATACGAAGACCAAAAAAGCCAAAACTATGAATGAAAATCAAATATGTTACCTCACGGAAGGCAAGAAAGCCAGAGACATAAGGAATGTCAAGTCTGACGCAGGTATATTCCTGATAAACTAGGCGTAGATCATTAAGGAGGTCCAAAACCACCAAGCTCCCACATGCCATAGATGGATCATCCTTGGAGAAGCTGACGTCCACTCCTCCCACGAACTTGAGTTGATGCTGCTGCTGCTGCTGCTGCTGCTGTGACTGTGGAGAGGGCAGTTTCCATGGGAAATCATCCACCGTAATGACTCTCTTCTTCAACGTATCTTGAATCCTGTCATTTTCAACAACTCCTCTATTTTACACGGATACCCAAATCCAATCAATACAGTTACAATTTACAATTACATACTCCGTCCATTTTCCCAATTTAGCCAAACCAGGACCTGGACCTTCTTGTGCTTCCTCTTTCTCGTTTATCCCTTCCATTTTCTGCTTCCACTTCCGTTATTCAAAACTTTATATCAGAATTGCTTACTGATCTTAGAAATTTCTTCCCTTTCTTTATGGAAATTGGAAATTTCTTATTCTTTAATTTTCACGCCTCAAAAATTGCTTTGAGATTAAAAAGGAAAATCGCGAGAAAGCTTCGAGAGGAAATATTAGAAAAAAAGGGGGGAGGGAGGGGGGAAGAGAAGAAAAGCGAAGGAACGACGCGCGTTATTAGAGGATTGAGTCCTAGAAAAAGCAAAAGAAAGAACGGTTTTTACCGACACGTGTATTTTAAGCGAGTGGAAAAATGGGGAAGAATTGTGACGACTGGTGTTGGGCTGGTCACAATAAAAAAGCCTACGAGGCTTTGAAAGTAATCGCGAAGCAAATACTGCTCCTCTCGTCTTCAACTTCTCCTCTTCTTTGTTGGGATTTTCGGTCTTTTCTTTGGCTTCAGCTCTTTCTTCCGCTTTTCTTCTTTGTTTGCTAGATATTTTGCTCGTCTTCTTCGTCTTGCTCTTCTTCTTGCAGGAGGCATTTGAAGAATTTATTAAATTAAGCATCTGAATCAGTCGTTATCTAAATTCCGTCTACCTTTTTTCATAATAATAAATTTCAGGTATGCATTTTATTTATATATCCCCTCTGAATCCGATCTCTTAGTCACTTGTCCTGCTAAAGTTTCTGCTGCTTTTCTGCAATTTTCCGAGCTTTATTTTATTTTTAGTCGTCTTTTCATAATCTGATCTGTACCTTATTGCTGGAAGATGGTTTTCTTCTTGATAATTTAGGTTTTTTTAGTTAAAATAAAAATTTTGGACTGGGAAGGATGTAGAATTTGAATGTAAAATCTATGGTAAGAATTTTGATTTTCTAATTGTGTCTGGTTGATCTAAAATTCATTCTGTACAGTTTTTCACTTTCTCTAAAGACATAAGGCTTCTGAGGCTTTTTTTTCTTTGTTAATTTTTTAGGTTATGCCCGTATCTTTTTTTATCCTAAAAGCCAGTTCTTTTGCATTTCAATCTCGGTCACTCTGGTACTTTGAGGATTTGACTGTTTCTCCAACTGTTATTCTGGCTTATGAGCTTCGATGGGGCTTAAGCAATCCGGGATCCCCAGTAATTACATTTCTAGGGTTTGCTAGCGGTTGGGAGGGTTTTATTTACCATAACCAAATACCTTATTTCTTTATTCGATTCTTTTAAAGCTAAACTTATGAACAATCATTTCTAAATTATATCCTTTCTCAAATAGTAAAAATTAGTAGCAAACCCCAAGAGAAAAATGGAAGGACCCTGGATGTCTGATGATATCTGAAAACTCATTCTCGATGTATCTTTTCCCTGTAATATTATTTATGCTCTTAAATCTCCAAATATTCATTTACCTCCCATTACTTGCTAATGGGCACTTTTGGTTTCTCTCTCTCTTGATTGTAGTCATGTTGTAGAAACTGATGATTGCTTGTGCATAATCGTTAGCACTTAATGTCAGACGGTAACTCACAAGGTTTCATTTTTGTTGGTTTTAGGGCAGTTTGGATAGAGATTGTGCCATCAAATGAGTATCAAGAGTTTGGGCTAAGGAAACTTTATTCTGGTTTTGATTGTTTGGGGTTTCATTCATGATTGGGAAAATGGTCGAGGGTCCTAAACTTACAGGACTTATCGGAGGAACCAACAACAATGATAACAATTACTATGATTTTACTCAAGAGTTTTACCAAAAGCTAGGAGAGGGCACTAACATGTCTATTGACAGTTTACAGACAAGTAATGCTGGTGGGTCTGTGTCCATGTCAGTTGAAAACAGTAGTGTCGGTTCTAATGATTCTCTAACCCACATTTTAAGTCACCCTGGTCTGAAGCCTGTGAACCGCCACAATTACTCTGTCTCTGTGGGACAGAGTGTGATTCGTCCTGGTAAAGTTGGCCATGCACTTAATGATGATGCATTAGCACAAGCATTGATGGATAATAGGTATCCAACTGAGGGGTTGTTGAATTATGATGAGTGGACTATTGATTTAAGGAAACTTAACATGGGTTCAGCATTTGCTCAAGGAGCCTTTGGGAAGTTATACAGAGGTACATATAATGGTGAGGATGTTGCGATTAAGATATTAGAAAGGCCTGAGAATAGCCCAGAGAAGGCACAAGTTATGGAACAACAATTTCAGCAGGAAGTTATGATGCTTGCAACACTGAAGCATCCAAAATATTGTGCGGTTTATTGGGGCTTGTCGCAAACCTATGGTTTGGTGCATTGTGACGGAGTATGCAAAGGGTGGCTCAGTTCGACTGTTTTTGACAAGGAGGCAGAATCGTGCTGTGCCATTAAAATTGGCAGTTAAGCAGGCATTGGATGTTGCTAGAGGGATGGCCTATGTGCATAGGCTTGGGTTTATTCATAGGGATTTGAAGTCAGATAATCTTCTAATAGCTGCTGATAAATCAATAAAGATTGCAGATTTTGGAGTCGCACGTATTGAGGTGCAGACTGAGGGCATGACACCAGAGACAGGGACGTACCGTTGGATGGCTCCGTAAGTCTTTCAACCTGTATATGTTAAAGTTTCTACCCCTTTTACAATATGCCATTTATCTGTTTTTGTTAAAAAAAATATTGATGGCAGTTTTCATCTTTGTTAGATGATTCTTGATAACTTGCATGAACTCAGATTTTTTTCCCTTTAAAAGAAGACCCTCAAGGTTGTGCATTATTTCTGTTTCGATTTCCTACCCCTTTGTGTAGTTAACTCTAATGATTTGCAGATTTATCTTTTATATTCTTCTGTTGTGAATTACGTTAGTAAGTCTTGCTGTTAAGGTTCTGGTATTTTCTATTTTCGTTTTTTGAGCTTGTAATTATATGTTCTGAGCTTTCTGTTTGAGATCATCAACAAAAACAGTTTATTTTGCATCTTTATTTGAATTCCGGATTTGATTATGAAGTTCTTCGACTTCGTTATGCATACTAGCAGCTTCCTTCTAAAATGGCTGATGCTTTTGTTTGATTATTTGAATGAAGATAATTTCTTCATGACTGTGATTATATTTAGATATTTTGAGTTCTCTTTTTTTGTTTGGTTAGAACATTGTAATGTTCTATCGCTAGATCTGGGTGCAATTTGAATGTATTGAAAGATTTTCCTTAGAATCCAACTCTAGTATTCATCCATCCATTATAGTTGTACTTTCTCTTTGATGTATTTAAAGTTATTTGGTTTGATTGCTCTTGGTTTCCTTTTGATCTTGATTTTCTTGGGATTAGCACATATGAAGTGATCCATTGTTTTTATTATTGGTTTATACCTCTCTCTGATTGATGTGTGCTGCCCTGCATGCCAATTAATTTCTTTCTGATTTAATAAAACCATATAAACATTATTTGAGAGTTATGAGGAAGTCTTCCAGATGGCCCAATAACTAGTTTTAGGCAACATCAGAGCAAGAGAAGATTTGCAATGGTTCCCTGGAGATTATTTGGAATTTATGTCTTATGTTTGCAACATCTTATTGCACGGCACTGAGGTTGAACTGGCTAATAGTGCTTATGACCTGTCTCTCTAAATTCAAACGGTACTGCTCTAAAGAGGCTAATTGCCATGCATTGGAATCTACCTTCCCATGGTTACTAGTTTTGTTGTATCATGTTGAACCAAGGGAGGAAGAGAAATAAAGTGAATTAATGAACTTGATAACAGCCTAATATGAGTCGAAACACAGGGTGGTATTACTTTTAAAGAGTGATTTTGAAAAGTGCTGTAAAAAAGTATTTTTGAAAAATGCAGTTTAAAATTTAGTTGTTTGAGCTTGCTGTTAAAAAGTGATTTTAAAAAGATAAAATGTCCCTTTTAGACATTGTGTTGTAAATTGAAAATATAGTATTTGAGGATAAAAATATAATTTCATCCCAAAAGTGATTTTCTACAACAAAAGCTAGAAATTTGAGATGTTGAGGTTAGGTTGAAAATCACTTTTCCAACCATGATTTTAAATCAATTTTTGGGTGTTTAGCATTGCTTATGAGGTGGAAAATCACTTTTCCGTTGTCAGAAGCATTCCACAAATAGAGAGGTTAAATGATTCATCCTTGTTACTATTTGATAGTAAGATTCCACCTAAAGTTTATTGGATTTGGAGATCAGTAGTGAATAATCACTTCAAAGAAGACTTTATTGGCTCTAAGTTTAGAAGCATGTGTAGTTTTCAAGTTGGTGATGGCAAATTTATTCGGTTCTGGCAAGATATTTGGGCTATGGACCATCTTCTTTTGGTCATTTTCCCTCGATTGTTTTATATTTCCACAAACAAGAATGGCAAATTATTTGAATTTGGTGAATATAGCTCTATGGGCTGGATTTGGGATGTTTAGTTTAGAAGGAATTTGAATGATTGGGAATTTGAACAATGGTCTAATTTGATGGTTGTCATTTCGAATTTTTCCCTATCTATTGAAATTTCTGATGGGTTGATTTGGAAAGGCTCCGGGTATGGGGTGTATACTGTAAGATCTTGTGTTAATCTCTCTTCATCAGGTTCTTTGGGATCGGAGGAGGTTTATTTTTGGAAGAAGATAATTTGGAGGGGACTGCTGCCTCCAAGAGTGGAGTCATTTCTGTGGCAGGTTGTACTTGGGAAGCTGGCTGTTAAGAGGGAACTAGTTAAAAGAGGAGTTCAGGGAATTGAAGATGTGTTATGTCCTCTTTGCAAGATGGTGGATGACTCTTCCTCTCATTTGTTTTTCTCTTGTTCGATTGTGTGGTCTCTATGGAACAAATTTATGAATTTTTGGAGGATCAATTCTGTTTTTCATGCTAATGCTAAAAGCTTTCTCCTAGCTTGGGATACTTTGAAGACTAACTCAGCTATATGGCCATTTATTCCTGGGGTTGTTCTTTGGACCACTTGGAAAATTAGGAATTTTATTGTGTTTGAAGGGGGGAAGTTAGATCAGGCTGAATATTTCTTCTTAGCAAGGTTTAGACTTGCTTCTTGGCTCTTAGCAAAGCATAAAGAGGCTTATATCCCTAAGGATTCACTTATATCAGACCCTTCCTTAGGAGACTCTTGTTCTCTCTATTCTAATCCGATTGTATCTATTTTTCCTTGGTCTCCTCCTCCCAAGGGCTTTGTAAAATTAAATGTTGATGTTGCTACTACAAGTGATTGGAAGAAAAGCGGGTTAGGAGGAGTTTTAAAAGATTCCTTAGGATTGAACTTAGGCTCTTTCAAGGAGTCTGCTGGTCCGGGACTCCGACCTTGATGGAATTAAAAGCTATTCAAAAGGGGTTGTCGTTCTTTGTCTATTTTCGAGAGCGGATCAAGGACCGGTTGATTATTGAGAGTGACAGCAAGGTGGCAGTGGATTGGATTAAGGAAGTTGAATTATGTCCAGATGTTTATGCTTTTATGGTTAAAGATATTGTTCATAGGCTTAAAGTCTTTGAAGGTGTTGTTAGATGGGTAAATAGGACAACTAATCTAGAGGCAGATGCATTAGCTAAGGCTGGAATAGATTGATGCATGTGTTGTGTGTTTAGGGATGTTTTTTTTAGGTTTCTATTCCCCATTAAGGGAGTTTTAGGATGTTGTTCTTCCTATGTACTATTTATGATTTTAATGAAATTCCAAGGCACTCTTTTCCTCCTTCCGCTGATTAAGGAGCTTTTTACGAGCTCCATTAATCATGAAGGTGGTTTTTAACGAGCCTCTTATTCTTAAAAAAAAAAACAAATAGAGAGGTTGGATGCAAGTATGCTTTACCTAAAAATGTCCTAGCTTTAAACTGAACAAGGTCTCTTAAGGTTATATTTGAAGGGTACATTGACAATATCTACAGCATTGTTAAATGAGACAATTTCTATCAAAAAAAAAAATTGTTAAATGAGACAATTCAAAAACAGCAACTGTTGACATGTGCTGTCTGGTCAACTATTCCACAAATTCGAATATTATCCATGGGTTATATAGCTTAAACAGAAAAGTGTAATTTCTCCTTCAGATTTTATAATCGTCCTTGGAATAGCTTCAAGTATACTGATTGCTTCAAAAAATTTAGTACCTGAAGAATAAAAAGGTGGCTACCACCCTAATTGTTTACTGACAACAGAAAGGCATCTTGAAAACTCGTAAGAAGGAGAGAAGTGAGAAAGAGGAAAGACAATTGAAAATATAAGATCAGGTCTTGTTGTTTTGCTAGAAGTTGGAGAGGACATCAATGCCCGTGAAAGGAAGAGACTGCTAACCAAAAAATAACTTTTACTAACAAAGCTTTAGCATATGAGAGTTCCTCTCTCCTTTTTCTCTGTTTTAGTATCTTGTTTTTTCTTTTAGTTGAAAATATGTAATCTGAAGTAACACCTTCTAGGCTTTGTTTTGAAGCAGGTACTTGGATCTCTAAAATTCTCTAATGTAAAGTGAAGAGCCTATGCATTAGTTGATATAACAATATCTGGTGGGGAAGAATCCCACGGCAGTTATTTGCATCATATATAAGCATTTTATGTTGTGTTGTCATCGGTGAATAGTTAACTAACTTTGCTGCTCGAGGAGCAGACATAATGTTCTTGTGTATATTTAATACCCAAGGAATAAGTTCTGTTTTTAAACCCTTTTTCCTGTCTTTTTGACTTAATGGCCCCTGCTGTGATGATTCCCCACTGGGAAAGAAATTAGTTGAGAACATTGCATCACTTGATCTTGTCACTCTACTTGCTATTTTAATTAGATTTGTCTAAGGCAATAAATAACTATGTAACAGTTTTCGTTGATGTATTTGTTTTGACATTTAGTTTTACTGAATTATCTTTTACATGAAATTGCATTTTGCTGACCAACTGAATTGGTATAACTGTATTTGTTACTTATTTTACATGTTTTTGTTCATTATTCATATTAGTAATTATCCTTTGTTCTTGCAGAGAGATGATACAGCATAGACCCTACACGCAAAAGGTAGATGTGTATAGTTTTGGAATAGTCCTGTGGGAGCTCATCACTGGCTTGCTTCCTTTCCAGAACATGACTGCAGTGCAGGCAGCATTTGCTGTGGTGAATAAGGGTGTAAGGCCAGTTATTCCAAATGATTGCCTCCCTGTACTGCGTGAGATCATGATGCGTTGCTGGGACATTAACCCAGAAGTCCGTCCTCCCTTCAATGATATCGTGAAGATGCTTGAGATTGCTGAAACAGATGTACTGACAACTGTTCGTAAGGCCCGCTTCAGGTGTTGCATGACTCAACCCATGACAATTGACTGATCCAGAACAGAAAGAGTGAAGAACAGAGAATAAAGGACAAGCGGATACAAATGGAAATGCAAGGGAAGCAGTAAGAATTTATATAAATTCATGTATGTATCAGTATTTTACATTATTATTTTTTTTTTACTTTACACTTTAATTTCCAGGTAGAAGGTAAGTTATTGGGTTCAGAATGCTGGTTTCTGGGGTTTTGATTTGAATACGTACTTGGACAAGCGGTGTTGTAGTTTTAGTAGTAAGGGGATCATTGATGTGGTTTTCCTTATGTCCATATACGTGGATTGACATATTTCGATGTTGTGCAGGTTCTCAATTGGATGAGCCTCTTATTCCGGTTTTCTTTACTCTTCTTTTTTGTTTTGTTTTTTGTCGTGATTTGTATGGCTAAAATAAGTGTGTTTTGCCTTTCAATTTTTATATACATAAAAGGAAATAGGTATGTGGATTCAAGGGGTTATTCAATAGTGGAAGGGAACAAACCTTTGCTATCACATGCTTATCATTAATGTTGTTAGAGCGTACAGTGTGCATGAGTTGAGGCCCTGATTCATCACTGAACTTTAACTGTGTGAGTAGACTGCATTAGGTGGGGAGGTCAGCTGATAAGATTTGGTTTAAAAAGGCCCAGCGAACATAAATTATGATCCTGTTCGGTATTGTTCTGGGTATGAGTGAGTATTTGATTGAAACGAGATAGTTAAATTTATGAGTATTATTTTATTATTTTAATTTTATTTTAATTTTTTAATCAAGTTAAGTTGAGTATGTATTTTTTTTTCTTTAAGACAATTTAATTATTTATATAAAAAATCCTTCAAATTTTATACATTGACAAAACTGTCATTTCAAGAGTTTCATTAAGAAGATTAAAGATATTTAGAATTGAATTTATCATTCTAAAGCATTAGAAACTTATCTTGCAAAGTCTTTGTAGAAGAGAAAAAGAAAACACCGATATTCTTATGATTTTTTAAAAAAGAAATAGTTTATCATTATTATTTTAAATAAAGAAAAACTCTCTGTGCGAAGCGGAAGGAACCCATACTAGTAGATTTATTGAAGTAAAATAATACGATTAAAAGAACTTTTTTTCATTTTCCTTTCCCTCCTCCCAGCTACCAGCCAAGAAATCAAACGAATCAAAAAAAGAAGAGGAAATGTCACATTCGCAAGACCAACTTCTACCCGCATCTTCCACTTGTGATGCATTCTATAAATATTAAAACATCATTTTTCAGAGAAAATAATTTTATTTTTTCTGAAGGAAATCTATTTTTTAATATGATTAAAACTTAAAAGAAAGCTCAAACCATAATTATCGACACTTTTTAAACATGTTTCTCTTTTTCTTTTCAAATCTGAACTTAGCCAAACAAATCTTTCTCGAATGACTGCTAAGGTCGTCTGATATAGGGTTAGCCTGTAGGATTGGCCAAAGGTGCTGGGAATCAATGCAAGAAACCTTTTACCTCTTTCGCATCTGATCTATAAAATTGGAATCCAATGCCAATTTTAAAAGATACAAGCTTTATTTCATGTCTTCAAACATACCGTGCCAACAAATTGAGTGAAAAGAAAAGAAAATATAGCTCAATCATAAACATTGTGTCCCAATTTCAGGCCATAGTAATCACTCTCAAATGCTCGTACTCCTGGGAATTCATAAAGCAACAAACAATTGAAATGACCAGATAATCTGACAACCTAACATGATCATTGATGGATACAATCCATAAAAACATTGTTTCTCTTAGTTTCAAGACTGTCATGCAAGTCTAAAACAAGAGTACTTCAATAATATTTGTAAGGAAACTAAACCTCCACAGGTTTCAGTTCAATGGTAAAGAGGATTCAGCAGCTGATGCAACAAATGAAGCTACTAGATTTTTACCCTTTCAGATCCTCCTGTAAATTCTACACCCAAGATATATATAAACAAACAATTAATTAATTGCTCCTCCTGTTTAAAGGAAACTCTGGGTCATCTAATTGCCCCCGAGAAAAAATAGTCATTTCAATTTCGATCTCACCATTTCCTTCTTAAGAGGAAGATTGAGCATGATCAATAAGCTCATGCGTTCATAAAAGTTAACAAGAGAGTGGTTACCTCTATAAGAATAATTACCTATTAGCAGAGAAGTAAACCATCTCACAGCCATAAACCTCACTTAAATTATTAAGCGGAAGTATCAAATTATCAAAATAGAACAACCACACCTTTTAACATATGTAAATAAACAATCATAGGCAACTGATTAAAACTTGCACATGTGATGAAGAGTTCACCTCTGCATGCTAATAAGGGGAATGATTGTTAAAGAAGTTTCAGTTCAGGACATCACAAATACATCAAGCACAAATTTACCTTACATACTAGATGGTTCTTTTTCAAACAGTGAAGAAGTTGAAATCAACACAAACATATGCCTGTAACAGAAGAACTTTTATGGATAAAACTCTTCCAGCTTAAGAAATACAGCTCTCCTTTCCCACCCCCACGCCTTTTATCCCTTCCCAAACCAAAAGGAAGATAAAAGGAGGGGGAACAGAAAAAAAAGCCAGAAAGGATGCCTGCTTCCTATAGCATATGAGGGCAATGAAAGGAGAGCAAAATCCATGCACCCTCTCTTTACCCTATAAAACTAAGAAAATGTAAAAACAGCGCTAAGAACTACCATACACTAAATCTACTAAGGGCGCATATATCCAGAAGTTGCCCGTTTCAATAACCATAATCCAAAGGTTCCCAAGTCATACATTACCCCAGGCAAGTTAAACCAACCAGTCAGTCACCATCGCCAATGTTCTTCACAAGTGCACTTCCTCTTTCTTTGTTTCAGTGTTGTCAGCAGCCTCATTGCTAGTTTCTTCACACCTTGACTCAGCCTTGTCCTCTTCAACAGTCTTCTCCTCCACAAACTCGCCCTTGTCCTCTTCAACAGTCTTCTCCTCCACAAACTCATCCTTGTCTTCTCCAACACTCTTCTCTTCCACAAACTCACTGCATCTGGCTTCATCAACCTTAACATCATTTTCCTTGTCTCGAATTATTCCCTCCATGGCATCTTGAGGCTTTAACTCATCTTTCCCTTCACTATTTAGCTCATTTTGTCTTGCAATGTCATCCATAAAAGCATCCATTAGAACTTCATCTCGTGATATTCCACCATTATTGTTCTCCTCCATAGCAACATCAACGTTTCTAATGTTTTCAGCAGCAAATCCCAGCATTTCCACATTATTATGGGCAGCAGCACTGGTAACCACCCTAAGATCAGAACCACCGTCCTCACTCTCGTTATCAGACCCATTCTCGACTACCTCCTCATTAACATCTTCCACCATCTGACTCTGCCTTTCTAAAAACTGTAACCTCCTCCTCAAATCTCCCAATTCCCTCTCCATCAAAAACAACCTTTCTTTTAATGTCAAATTCTCTTCTTCCAATTGAGCTATATGCGTATCTTGATCATCCACTCTATTTTCCAAAACATTGTTATAATCTGCTCCATAACTAGGATATATCATCTCAAACCTGCTTAAATCATGGTCCAATCTCCTTTCCACTTCCACGTGTTCTTCCACATCACTCTCACTTGAATCCCCACCATTTCCCCCATCCTCATCTTCGTCATCATCATGACCAGTTTCTGGTGATCGAAGCCGAATCAACCCTTTCATTGACCCATAACCATCCACACCCCATTCTTCCTTGGCCATATCACCCAAAACCTCCCTTGATGGTGAAAATATTGGCGTAGGAAGAACAGCGGGAGTCACAGGACATGGCGACACCAAAGAAGCTATTCCACCGGACTTTTTTGCTCGGATTATAAACGAAGTTGTATTCCGTGGAGCGTAAGGAGCAAACCGGTTGTTGCCATGATTGAATTTCTTCTTGTTGCCGTGGAATTTTCGGGCTTTTAACCGGTTCTGATTTTGTAGCTCGTTAAGAGTTGGAGGCTTGTAACCTTGAGTATTACCCCCAGAAGCAGGGGTCACAAAAGAAATAGCAGAACCAGAACCCATGGATAAAGGCTTATTCTCGAACTTCCAAGAATCTTTACCGAAAGACACTTTTTTGCCCTTCCAATTATTATTACGATTGAAAGAAGAGAATGTCTTGTTAGGGTTAGGGTTTTGGTTTGGGTCCTGAGATTGCCAAGGCTTATAGCTTCGATTCAACATCATCGTCGGAGGAGGCTGAATCATCATCTGAGGACCAGAACTTATGGGCTGCGACTGCGCCGCCGCTAATTGGTTCATCGCCTGAGAGTGAGCCGCCGACGCCATCAACTGGTGAGACTGATTCATCATCTGCGGCTGTACTGGAACTTGGACCTGGACCGTGTTCATCATCATTTGGGGAGGCTGATTCATCATCTGAGACTGATCGTTCATTTTTAATAAAATAATTTGAAAAGAAAAAGTAAATCAAATAAATTTAAAGAGCGAGAGAAGAAGAAGAAGAAGAAAAGAAACCCTAATTCTTCAATTTTAGAATTCAAATTTGACGCCAGATCAAACGAATTACTACTGCTCCGTTAATTTCCTTTTTTCTTTTAGTTTTCTCAAAACAAAAACTGGAAATTTTAGATTCAATTGCTTTGAATTGAAGTCTTTTCCCCTATGCTCCTCTCCGAAATCCCTAAATCTGGAAAACAGATTGTCCAACGCACTGAGGCCAACGGTTGCTTTTATTGGGGACCAGAAGAGTCTCTGGACGGTTAGATCTTCATGATTAGGGATTGACGGCCAGATCTAATTCCGTGTCGAAGCCAAGATCGACAAGTAATGAGTTTGTTAGACGGGGTTTTCCCTTACATCCTTGATTTTCTGAAATTTTGCAGATAAGACTCTTTTCTTTGAAAACAATATATTTTTGCAACATATCTTGTTCTAATTTATCATTTGACCCCTTTGATTTGATTGCTTAGTTGTCAATTCCTTATGTTCGCTTGTGGTTGTGGTGGACAGCAAATTTCCAAATAAAAAGCATCGTAATTGGTTTAATCGATAAGTTCTCTTTTTCTCTTTATTGAACAAAAAGAATAAGTATATTTTTTCTTTCACGTGTATTATTGTTTCGGGGCATGACTCAGAAAAGGTAAGGTAATATACGGTTAATATACGGTATTATAAATTATCTAAAAAAATAATAATATACGGTGTTATTGAATATATTAAAAGATATTTAATAAATTTGATTTAGTGCTATCGAAAATATTGAGTAATAATAATGTAGTAGATCTAAATCATTAAGAAATGTTAAAAAAATTGGCAATCGACAAACTTAACTTGTCGGTTTATGTCGATACTTTATAAAAATGTATCGATCCACATCAATATAATAGAAAAAAATATGACAAAACCGGTCACGAAAAGATAAAATCGGTAAAGTGCTACCAGATATATTTAAAGTGTCGATACTTTAATATAAGTATCGACACATTGTGAATTTAAAGGAGAAACAATTTTAGCGTTTATAAAGTGTCGATTATTTATAAATATGTATCGATCCACAACGATATAACATGTAAAAATATGACAAAACCGATCTCGAAAAGATAAAACCGGTAAAGCGCTACCGAATATATTGAAAGTGTCGATACTTTAATATAAGTATCGACACTTTGTGAATTTAAAATAGAGCAGTTTTAGCTTCTATAAAGTGTAGATATTTTATAACAATGTATCGATCCACAACGATATAACAGGTAAAAATATGACAAAACCGGTACTAAAGGACAAAACCGTTATAGAGCGACCGGATATATTGAAAGTGTCGATACGTTAATATAAGTATCGACACTTTGTAAATTTAAAAGAGAAGTATTTTTCGCGTCTATGAAGTGTCGATACTTTATAAAAATGTATCGATACATAACGATATAACAGGTAAAAATATGAAAAAATCGGTATCTAAAGGATAAAATCGGTATAGAGCGACCGAATATATTTAAAGTGTGAATACTTTAATATAAGTATCGACATTTTGTGAATTTAAAAGAGAAGAGGTTTTAGCGCCTATAAAGTGTCGAGTCCAAAACGATATAACAGGTAAAAATATGACAACCGGTCTCAAAATGACAAAACCGGTAAAGCGCTACCGGATATATTGAAAGTGTCGATACTTTAATAAGTACGCGTAATAACTTATCGATACTTTCAAAGAAATAGGTAATTATACTATCGAAAGTATCAACACATGACATAAAAGTATAGACACTTTTGTAGTTGTATCGATTAAATATAAATAACATATCCAGTGAAAATATAAAGGGCATAGTTAAATATCCTCTGAAAAATAGAAAGAACGGACGAGTTTTTGAAATCGAAGCGTAATTGTTACTGCATTTCAGAAGGCGTTTCTAAAGCGAAATTTGTTTGTTTGTTATTGCAGTTGAATCGAAAAGTACGTTGTCGAAACCCTAGTTTTTTATTATGAGAAAATAACTTCAGTGACCAAAAATCCCAGATAATATACGATTTTGACCAACTTTTTTTGGATTTGCGAAAATGACCAACAAAATCGCAATGCGATCTCTAATTCGCATTGCGATCTCCACTATCGCAAATTCGCGTTACATTTTGCGTTGCAATAGTTGGAAATCGCGTTGCGATTTTTCATTTCGCGTTGTGATTTTCCATTTCGCGTTGCGATAGTTGAAAATCGCGTTGCGATTTTCCATTTCGCGTTGCTATAGTTGAAAATCGCGTTGCGATTTTCCATTTCGCATTGCGATAGTCTACAGTTGTTGTTGCGAAAGTCTACAATTGTCGTTGCGATTTTCCAAATTCGTTGCGATAGTTAAAAAAAAAGATTTTGTTTCTTAAGAATTTTCTCTAAAAAGATAATATCCGCGCGGACGTGTCGAAGACACGTATGACCACGACCACGACCCGACCCGAGACGAGACGAGACGGACGACGGCGGCGGCACGCGAGAGTCCCCCTTATTCTCTATCACTCAACAAGGAAGTGGGAAAGCCAAGCCTTAAATACCATTCCCAATAGTGTTTCCAATACTATGTGGGATTTGAGCATTACCAACACTTGTTCCCAATACTATGTGGGATTGAGCCTTAAATAGTGATATTATTTTTGAATGTTTTGCTTAAAATTGCAATAATCACGATTGATTGTAGATTGACTTTTAATTATGACATATTTAATCGTATAATACTAATGCAATTGGTTGCTGATTCAGTTGTTTTAAGGTGCATGATTGTTAATTGTTTCCTGAATAATCACATTGTATTGGAAACAAGTGTTGGTAATGCTCAATCCCACATAGTATTGGAAACACTATTGAGAATGTTATTTAAGGCTTGGCTTTCCCACTTTCTTGTTGAGTGATAGAGAACAAGGGGGACTCTCGCGCGCCGCCGCCGCCGTCCGTCTCGTCTCGGGTCGTGGTCGTGGTCGTGGTAATATGTGTCTTCGACACGTCCGCGCGGATACTATCTTTTTAGAGAAAATTCTTAAGAAACAAAATCTTTTTTTTTAACTATCACAACGAATATGGAAAATCGCAACGACAACTGTAGACTATCGCAACGCGATTTCAAAAATCGTAACGCGAACTGGAAAATCGCAACGCGATTTTCGCAACGAATTTGGAAAATCGCAACGACAACTGTAGACTATCGCAACGCGAACTGGAAAATCGCAACGCGAACTGGAAAATCGCAACGCGATTTTCAACTATCGCAACGCGAACTGGAAAATCGCAACGCGAAATGCAACTCGAAATGCAACGCGAATTTGCGATAGTGAAGATCGCATTGCGATTTTGTTGGTCATTTTCGCAAATCCAAAAAAAGTTTATCAAAATCGTATATTATCTGGGATTTTTGGTCACTGAGGTTATTTTCTCTTTTATTATTACAGTAATCGGAAATATGGTTTTTATATGTTGTTTGGGGTTTTGGAGTAAAGAATCATTTGAGACTGATTACAGGTAGAAAGTGACATTCTAGGTAAAATATAAATATTGATACTTTTATTAAATATTATAGGTAGAAAATGATATTATAGGTTGTATAAATGTGTCGATACTTGGAGTATTGAGTGTTCTCATTCGTTTAAAGGAAATAGGGATTAGGGTTTTTGGGTTTGGTTTGGGGATTTCGAATCGAAGTCAAGTAGGATTTGAGACCGATTATATAATATTATAGGTAGAAAATAAATATGGATACATGTATATAATATTATAGGTAGAAAATGATATTTTAGGTTATATAAATGTGTCGACACATTTTGTAGTGGCCATTCAAATTCTTTTGAAGAAAACAAGTTTTACCACAAGAGTAATTATCTATATTTGTATATTGAATAAAGTGTATGTAACAAGTATTTGATTTGATTTGCGTAAACTGATATATGAAGGAAAAATGGAGTCAATGGGTGGAAATATTGTTGGTGGCGCAGATGGCTTTGAAATTAAGACCGAGACTCGAAAGCAAGCAAAGGGTGGATATATGTACTTCTAGTAAGTATCAATGTCTTTTTGTTATTATTGTTGAAATGGTAATCAGATTAAAGTATTTAAGAATTTTAAATTGATGACAAATTTTAAATGTTGACAGTATGATTGAATGCAAAAGGATGAAGGAAGGTGACGAACACATCAGTTCGGTATATAAATTGAAATTGACATTGAGTATTCTTTAGTGTTAATGTATTGATTAAAAAATGTTTATGCTTAATATTAGGTAAGAAATAATGTCTTGGAGAAATGGAATTCGATGACTGATGCTGAGAATGAACCTTACATCGCATAGTAAAATATGGGTAGTGAAGAATACAAAGAATGTAAGAAAACACATGAAAAGAAGGTATTCATTAAATTTGTAAATACGTTGATACAAAATATATAAGAACTATAACATTGAATATTGTTAAAAAATGTAGGAAGTGTCGACAAGGTGCAGCATTAAAAGGGTGAATTCATTAATTATACACCTTAAGGAGAAAAGTCAGTTGAATGTGCTGAGAGAAATGGAGTTTGGATCGTTGGTAAGAGTAAGGGATCGACCTATTCGGAGGGAATTGTGTCGATCCTTGATGGCGCAATTTGATGTCAAACAATGTATTGTTAAATATGGTGATTTTTCATTTCCTCTCGAGATCCCATGTGTTGCAGTCGTCTTGGGGGTAGGAAATGAAGGAAAAAGTGTTGTAGAAGTCTCTAAGAGTAAGAACTGAAAAACACTTGCCTCCAAATATGGTTTGAAGCAGAAGGTGATATGTGCTGAACTTGAAGAGGAAATCAAAAGTGGATCTTACGGGGGGGATGAGCTGAAGGCCCGAGTTCTATTGTACCTTATCGGGATCTTTCTTTGTCCAACGGGTGATACGTCAACGAACAAGGACTATATGAAGCTCATTTGCGATGAAGGATTGAAGGGTGAATTCAATTGGGTTGAATATGTCCATTCGAGATTGATTGAATCAATAATCACCTTTAAAAAGGGCAGCCAGAGATACCTCAAAGGGTGCATAACAATCTTAGAGGTAAATGAGTTGAAGAACGTTTTTGTTTTTTATATAAAATGATAATATAGTTATTATATAAAATTATAAATTTTATTATAAATGCATGTTGCATTGTTCGATTTTTGGTCGGGCTGTGAGGCAGTGTCGGCTTATGAAAGAACCGGAGTGGCACACATCCGTGCATGGGGGAAGGAAGAGGTGGTTAGAGTGATGGTGAAGTTAAAGTTGGATAGACCGAGTAAGCAAGGAAGAGTAATAAATGTAATTAAATAATATTAAGAATATAATCAATGTCTTAATATTGTAATTTTATTTTGAAGGTTATTGGTAAGGATGTAGTGGAGGCAGAGGAGAAGGAAGAAGAGATGGTTGTATTGGGGGATGACGATGAGGGATGACAGAGTAAATTCGACATTTTGATGTCTGAATTGGCTGATATAAAAAAATCCAATTTGATATCATGCAAAGACAATCAAGAGTCGAATAGAAACTTGAGAGAGTTAAAGAGACACTTGAGAGGCATAAGGGGGAAGTGGAAGGAAAAATAGATGGAGTGGTGAAAGAAGTTGAGGTGTTGAATGTTGAAGTGGTGAAAGAAGTTGAGGTGTTGAGGGGCGAAGTGGTGAAAGAAGTTGAGGTGTTGAAGGGTGAACTTAAGATGGTGAGGGGTGAAAAAATTGATGGAGTGATGAAAGAGGTTGTGAAATTGAGGAGTGAACTTACGGGGTAAAGGGGGTGGTTGATGAATACTTGGATGACGGGGAAAATTGAAGGGTGAAATAAAAGAGATGAAGAGCTATGTAGAGAAAAAATACGATGAACTGAAAAAATATGAAGAAGAAAAGAGTGAGGAGGAAGAAAAGATGGAGGAAGAAAAGATGGAGGAAATGAGGAGGAAGGATGTCGATGTGATCTATACACCGGAGAGTGTTATAGATGCAGATTTGGATTCGGAATGTCCTACACCCCAGAAGAAGAAGCAGAAGGTAAGTTGAATAAAAGAAAACTTAATTTGATCTTTATCATGTTGTTGTGACAAAAATTTGTATGCAAAATTGTAGGTTGAAAAAATGGATATTCCAAGCGGAATTGATGACATCGAAGCTGCAATTTGTGATTATTTATGGAATAGCGGGTTAGAATCGAGGTAAGTGAAATATATTGCTTTGTAAGTGATATTTAAATATTTCATGACAAGATATTAATCCTAATGATTCATACAGATATTCTGTAATCTCAATGGGAAATCAATTCACTAATATATCCGACGTTGCAACGTTGAAGCCTACAGAATGGGTTGGCGGTGTGGTAAGTAGAAAGTACAAAATGTTAAAACCTATTGAATATATTCTGATTGTGTAATTAATTTTGTTAGGTTATTGATTTTCTCGCCTGAACAGTATGTTACGATTCGAAAAAGTCACTCCGGAGGATTGTCTACCTTCCATACCACTTAGCGGTGAGTTAAATTAATAAATGTTGAAAAGTAGTGTTATAGACGGTAAATTAATAATGATTGTCGCGTAATTGCAGCAACAAGCGTTGGATGCCAACAACAAAGTAAGTGTTGAGAGTATTGCAATCTTTTGGGGTCCCATATTGGGTAACTATATGAAATTCACCGACTGTGTGAAGATAAGACACCATACGAATTGCAAATGATGTTTTCGGATATAGAATGTTGAATTTTTTCAAATTGGGTGTGAAATTTATTACAGATCATGATCACAATAAACTACCTTAATTCACATTGGTATCTGTTGGTGTTGGATATGGTAGATCATGTTGCAACAATATATGATAGTCTGTTTACATCTGAAGCAGCTAAACAGAGAGTGAATGATGCTAAGAGATTGGTATGTATGAAAGGATATTATGTAAATTATAATGCAGATTTTGTTTGGATCATAACTTCATATTTTTTAATGCAGATGAAAATATTAGATAGTTATAATAAGAAACACAATTGGGTAGAAGAATGTGGATCTCTAGGAAAGTTCCCATTGAAAAATTTTAAATTTGTGGAGCATAAGAAGAATGACCAATTGAATGGGTATAAGATGTTATCATAAATAGAAAGCTTAATTTATGCAGGTTTCATAATTGATATGTGTGGTTTTCAAATTTTGTTACAGATATGATTGCTGCATGTATGTGATGATGTGGATGGAATCGATCGGTTCTATAGGGGCAACTGGTGATTTTGTAAGTGGAATTAAAAATTCGTTTGCGGTTAAATTGTTAAAAGTCGTAGATTGAATGTTGTGGTTTACAATACTTAATGTACTGACAATTTGAATATAGGTTGTTGGAGGGTGGGATCGATCGCAAATATTAAACGATCTCGTAAGCTACAATCAAAATCAACGAAGACAGAAGATAACAAAAGCTGCCATGAGACACAAGAATAACTAAAGGAAGCGATGGTGTAAATGTAGAGTTAATTTTGTATAAGATTTGTAATTTTGAATATGATTTATAATTTTGTATGTGGATGTAATTATGTATAAGATGAGAAAAGTTAACAGTAGGTTGTTGTACATGTTTCTTATACACAGTAAGAGTCATGTTGATACTTACGATATATGGAGATCGTTGTCTGCATTATTCCAAATGTCATCATAATTGTCATCATGTGCGGGACTGAATGGTCATTCCATATAGAGGGTGTACACAATAACTACAAAATTCAATAACTTTAAAGTAAAAGGTAAATTTATAATGTAGTCCGTAAAAATAGACTTTTTAATAAAAAATTAATAAACACAAAGATTTGTTTCCAACATTTTGTCCAGTATGGTTCCCAAACATTAAGTTCCCAAAAAATAGGTAAGCATATGTGTCGATACAGTTATAAAAAGTTTCGATCCCAAAAAATCAAAACTCATAATTATAATGTAATAGGTAATTTTGTAATATAATCAGTATAAATATATCAGTTTTATGTGAGAATAGGTCTATATAATGTATCGACACTTTATCATTATGTGTCGATACTTTTTGTCCAGAATGAATGCTCAAAATGATGAACGCATTAAGTGTCGATACATTTATTGAAAGTGTCGATCTCAGAAACATCGAAACCCATAAATATAATGTAATATGTAAATTTACAATGTAACCGGTATAACTAAACCGATTTTATGAAAGAATAGGTCTACATAATGTATCGACACTTATGGAATTTGTGTCGATATTGTTTGTCCAGAAGGAATGCCCAAAAAGGGTGCAAGCAACAAGTGTCGATACATTTATAAACAAGTATCGATCTCAGAAACATCGAAACCCATAATTATAATGTAATAGATAATTTTTCAATGTAACCGATATACATATACCAGTTTTATGAGAGAATAGGTCTACAATATGTATCGACACTTGTGTAATTTGTGTCGATACTTTTGGTCCAGAAGGAATGCCCAAAAAGGGTGCACCATTAAGTGTCGATACATTTATAAAAAAAGTGTCGATCCCAAAAACTTCTAAACCCATAATTATAATATAATAGGTAATTTTGTAATATAACCGGTATAAATATACCGATTTTATGTGAGAATAGGTCTACATAATGTATCAACACTTTTTTATTTTGTGTCGATACTTTTTGTCCAGAATGAATGCCCAAAAGGATGAACGCATAAAGTGTCGATATATTTATAAAAAGTGTCGATACCAGAAACATCGAAACCCATAAATATAATGTAATAGGTAAATTTAAAATGTAACCGGTATAACTATACCGGTTTTATGAGAGAATAGGTCTACAACATGTATCGACACTTGTGTAATTTGTGTCGATACTTTTTATCCAGAAGGAATGCCAAAAGGGTTGCATGCATAAAGTGTCGATACATTTTTAAAAAGTGTCGATCCCAAAAACATCAAAACCGATAATTATAATGTAATAGGTAAATTTCCAATGTAACCGGTATAAATATACCGATTTTATGAGAAAATAGATCATCATAACGTTTTGAAAATTGTTAAATTTGTGTCGATACCATTTTAAATATCGTGTTTTCCCCTTTCATTATTTATAGATTATAATCGATACAAACTCTATATTAAGAAACCCTAAACCTAAAGGCAGAAGATAACTCTTCCTCTTCGACGAATACTAGCGTTATCATAACAGTGACGATCATATATTCAGGTAAATTTATTATTATTTTATGGGTTTGATTGATTTCCACATTGGAATTTTTTTTCCTGAATGTGTTTGTGTTCCAATGTAATAACATCGACACCCAAAATGGCTCTAAAACGTCAGCGTCAGAAGCGCGGTCTTTCTCAAAGCTCTTCTCAACCTAGGTCTTCTCAACCATAACCTCCTTCTCAAACAATCGCTTCTTCTGAGGAAATCAGGTCGTTCTAAACTCTGAACGAAAGAAAGATGGCAGACGAGTTTTAAAGTAAGGAAGATTCGTCCCGAACGTGTCATTGACCTGGGTTTCTTATTTGATGATAAATATGCATTTAGTTTTAAATCCATATTTATATCTTGGGGTTGACTTGAATTCCTTGGTGTATAACCAAAATATTACCCCAACCTAGTTAGAGTCTTCTACAACAATGCTTCCTTACAGCACAAGCCTAATAAGACTAATATAATATGAATTAATACACATGTCATGGGGAATGATATATATATATCTCTGGAAACTATTGCAGAGGGTTTAGGTGTCGAGAATAAAGGGGATTCAGATGAAAATAATTTAGATACTACAATACAACAGGTTGCTAGAAATAGCCCAATTCACGTAGATATAGAGTCGAGGGTGTTTCACAAAATGCTCTCTTGGTATATACAGCCTATTGGGGGAAAACATTCAACGCTTCGAGACAACGATTATTGGTGGATAGCAAAGTATAAATCCAAAAGGGCTCCAAACATTGCTAAACTGATATTTAATACAATTGTATATATGGTCAGAAAGGGAACAACAATTTCAACTTCACTACCATATGGATCTGTCATTACACATCTTGTGAATAAGAAAGAAGTTGATTTTTCGCATGACGCCTTTGTTCGATTAACCCGCAATATTGACATGTTATTTATTAAAAAAACGGGATATGATTTTGTTGAAAAAGTCGGTTGGAAGCGTGTCAAGGAGGTCGGATTAGATCAAGAGAGGGAGGTAATGGACCCCATTGGCCATAAAGACGACCAACCAATTGGAGATACAATGATGGAAGAAGCTCCAGTTGGAGAGGATGTCACAATTAAGACGGTGATAGAATACATGGATCAATTTTCGGGAGCATATCGATTCCCACCGATATTTCATCATTGTGCGATAAAGTCTCCATGTTGCGTGATGAATTATGTCAACGAAACCAAACGAGTTAGGTAATTAATTATTTATGTTTCTAAACATTTACACGTTCTGAAATGTATTTTATTTTCTTTTAACAGATGTGGACAACCAAGAGGTCAATGAAGATGACGACGATGATGATGATGATGATTATGATAATCCAAACAAGTATATCGTGTCTGCAACGCCGCCTGCAAGAAAACTTATAATTTTTGATGTCAATGGTGTCCTTGCCTACATCCTAAGATAGCCAAAATGTTTTCCAAGATGAGGTTAGAACTGTTGAGCAATTGAATTTCTGTAGCCAAAATCGTTAATATACAATTAAATGTTAACATTCAAACTTGATTTCAATCTCAGGCATAACATCGACCCTGTACTTGAAAAACTACCTTTGTTGTCTGACCATTTTCTATTCACTTGGGTAAGATGAATCTCATTACAGTTTGCTGACTTTTATTTATCTATGATTCCTACATATTTATGTTCGAATGTTTGTGAACAGGATCAAGCAAATTGTAAAACATACGATAATGTTACCTACTGTAAAGATCTCAATGATGTTTGGAACGCGTTTTCTTATTTTAACGACCTAAATACACTGTTGGTCGATGATTCACCGGAAAAAATGATTTATAATCCGTTAAGTTACATTTATGCAATATGTTTTTCCAATTAAACATGTGTTCATACATTGATAGATTAACAATTTATGTGTTTATATAGAAATACAATTACATATGTCCACATTCCTTTGATGATGCTTCCCATTCGGGCGACAATGCTCTAAGTATGACACAAATTTATTCCTGCTTATGCGAATTTAGTAGTAAATTTGCACCTCATTAGTTTGATAATTGAAATTATTTATATATGTCCTTAGAAAAAGGCGGTAACATACGAGAGTATTTGGAAAATTTGTTGAAGGCGCCTAATGTTCCGGACTTCGTTAGAAATAACCCTTTTTCATTGATTTAATTTCATTGTGGGTACATTATTTGAACATTATTATGTATAAATTTCTTGTGTATGTATGTTTTGTTTTGATTATATTGTGTGTATATCTTCATTCGGATGAGATGCGCTGTGCATAACAAAACAATCTATCTATCTCTTCCATGTGAGTACTTTATTCCCACCATGTGACAAGTGTGACAACCCCATCAACTCACAACTTAGCTTTGAACTCAATAGATATTATTTTTACCCGCTTGATGGTTCATAACGTATGTTACTTGAACAATATGAATCAATTATGCAATTTCATTTATAAGGTAACAACTTACCTTTTTCAAAACTTATGAACTTAGCTAATATGCATGTTATCATTGATTATTCCATATTTGCTTCTCTGTATATAGATACATTTGAGGATTGTTGAAATATCAATACTAGTTATTAATGTATTTTACATATGTTTGCAAATGTATCGAAACACTTTATTAAAGAATCGTTTTCTATAATCTCCACAACAAAGTTTTCATACATAAAGTTTCCAAACTTAAAGTTTCTCATAAAGTGTCGATACAATTTTAAAAAGTATCGATCCCAGAAACATCGAAATCCATAAATATAATATAATAGGTAAATTTACAATGTAATCAGTATAACTAAACCGATTTTATGACATAATAGGCCTACATAATGTATCGACACTTCTAGAATTTGTGTCGATATTGTTTGTCCAGAAGGAATGCCCAAAAAGGGTGCACCCATAAAGTATCGATACTTTTTAAAAAAGTATCGATCCCAAAAACATCGAAACCCATAATTATAATGTAATAGGTAATTTTGTAATATAACCGGTATAAATATACCAGTTTTATGTGAGAATAGGTCTACATAATGTGTCGATACTTTTTATCCAGAATGAATGCCCAAAAGGGTGAACGCATAAAGTGTCGGTATATTTATAAAACGTATCGATACCAAAAACATCAAAACCGATAATTATAATGTAATAGGTAAATTTACAATGTAATCGGTATAAATAAACCGATTTTTTGAGAAAATATATATACATAATGTATCGACTCCACAAGGAAAATCCAAAAAGGGTGCACCTATAAAGTGTCGATACATGTTTAAACAGTATCGATCCCTAAAACATCAAAACCCATAAATATAATGTAATAGGTAATTTTGTAATATAACCGGTATAAATATACATATTTTATGTCAGAATAGGTCTACATAATATGTCGACACTTTTGAATGATGTGTCGATACGTTTTCTCCATAATGAATGCCCAAAAGGGTGAACGAATAAAGTATCGATACATTTATAAAAAGTAACGATCCCAAAAACATCGAAACCGATAATTATAATGTAATAGGTAAATTTACAATGTAACCGGTATAAATATACCGATTTTATGTTAAAATAGGTGAACATAATGTATTGACACGTTTTAGATTTGTGTCGATATTTTTTTTCCAAAATGAATGCCAAAAGGGTTGCAAGCATAAAGTGTCGATACATTTTTTAAAAAGTATCGATCCCAAAAACATCGAACCGATAATTATAATGTAATAGGTAAATTTACAATGTAACCGGTATAAATGTACCGATTTTATGAGAAAATATGTGAACATAATGTATCGACACGTTTTAGATTTTTGTCGATACTTGTAAATAACGCGTTTTTTCTTCCTTCATTATTTATATGTAACGCTACAAACCCCAAATCGATAAACCCTAAAGGCATATCTCTTCTCTTCCTCTGTGACGAATACCAGCGTTCATAATAGTTACGATCAATTATTCATGTAAATTTCTCGATATTATGGTATTGATTTCCAGATTGGACACTTTTTTTCCCTTCTTGTGTTCGATAGACATGTTGTCGAAACCCTAATTTTTTTTAAAAATCTTTGGAAAGAGTGGTTAGATTTTAAAGTTTGATGTTTGTGAATGGTTATAGGTTGCAAGTTCAATCTTTGTTCGCAAAGATGATAACCTTCAAATCTCTACAGTCTTACTGAATGCGAAAGGATAAAGGAAGCTCTTAATCATGTTGAAAGCATAGCCAATAAAACCCCTTGTAGGGTCCAAATGGTAAGCTAGGAATTGGTAAGATACTCTTCTTTTAAGGGTTTAGGGTTTAGAGCCCTCCAACGTAAGGAGTGCATGATTGAACATGACGTATGATAGTTGTATTCAGTTGTTGAAGAATTGTTCTTAATTTTATATAAGGATAATTGTTATGATATACATTCACGTTTCGGGACCAATTAGTTAGATGCGTGCAGTAGCCTATATCCTCGAGGCAGAGCACAAGAAATCTGACACTTAAAGATTTACCAAGAGTGGTAGCATTTGCTCTGCATGAAGACCGAACCTAGAATCAACTTTGCAATTATGCCTATCATGCTGAAGAGAACCTACTTAATAATAGGATTTGCATACAAATACAAGTATTTTAAACCCTAAACTCAACTACTCACATTGAAAATTATGCAACAGAGATGTGAATCATTTTATGGAAAAATTTCCATGTAAGGAGTTGGGTTTAGCGTTTAAAATGCTTGCAATTGTATGCAAATCTTATTTTTCAGAAGGTTCTCTTCAGCATGATAGGTATAATTGCAAAGTTGAATCTAGGTTCGGTTTTCATTCAGAGCAAAAGCTACCGCTCTTGGTAAATCTTTAAGTGTCAGATTTCTTGTGCTCTACCTCGAGGATATAGGCTACTGCACGCATCTAACTAATTGGTCCCGAAACGTGAACGTATATCATAACAACTATCCTTATATAAAATTAAGAACAATTCTTCAACAACTGAATACAACTATTATACGTTATGTTCAATCATGCACTCCTTACGTTGGAGGGCTCTAAACCCTAAACCCTCAAAGAAATCTTGCCTTACCAATTTCTAGCTTACCATTTGGACCCCCAGGTTTTATTGGCTATGCAATCAACATGATTAACCTGGATAATCCCAGTTACAGAACTGATTCCGACCATGATTGCGGGAGACTATAATTTACAGATTGTTTGGCATTTATGCGATGATGCGGATGAAATATTAAACAGCCTCGTAAGCCACAATCAAAATAGACTAAGAGAGGAAATTTTGTTAATGTAGGGTTATTTTTGTATAAGTTACATGCGATTTATAATTTTGTATTTGAATGTAATTATGTATGAGATGAGAAAAGTTAGCAATAGGTTGTTGTACATGTTTCTTATATACAATAGGAGTCATGTTGATACTTACGATATATGAAGATCGTTGTCATCACGTGCAGGACTGAATGGCCATTTCATTCTGTCTTCAAAAAAATCAGTTGATGTAGGATGTGTGCTTGTATTCAAACTGAGCTTGACTTGAGGACATGTTAGTTTGTTATGTCCCTCACAGTTGCAGTACCCACATCGCCTAATTTTCTTCTCGACCTTGTTCTTCGGTACTTCTTTTCGCTTGCGTTGTTTTCGTTGAGGGTCACGAACGTTGTTTACTACACTGCTCTTGTTGACTGAATCATTCAAACCAAATGAGTTTTCAAATTCTTCTCTTAGTCTTCTCATCTCATCTCTTGCGGTTTTGAAAGACGCGTCTTTCTTTGATGCAATGTAGCAGAATCTACTTGACGTTGAACGTAGAGCAGCGAACCTTGCCATTTGCATCAC